CATTGAGCTATAGCTATAAATCTATAACATTTAGCTATAACTATAGATCTATAACATTTAGTTATAGTTATAGATCTATAATATTGAGCTATAGCTATAGCTATAAGTCTATAACATTTAGCTATAGCTATAGCTATAGATCTATAGTATTTAGCTATAGTTATAGATCTATAACATCGAGCTATAGTTATAGATCTATAACATTTAGCTATAGATCATGTCAATCAAGATTTCAAGCAGGTTAGAAGCGTTTGTAGTTTACGTTTGTAGTTTGTAGTGTTCATGTCTACACTTCATGAACAAGCCAAACTCCAGTCAAAATAGCTTTCCATTATCTATATCTAATTTCAAGTTGATCTACGATAAACTTGAAATTCTAGATGCTCCTCAACCTGGATAAACGATCGTGGATGGATGCTTTGGGACTGCAAAAATATGAAGGACATTGCAAACAAAATGCGGAGACGATGAAGAGGATATTGAAGCTGACGAAAGACTACAAGAAGGTAAGGCTTAACTTATTGTTAGCAAACAGTAGCACAGCCTGTACTGATCTGTTCTTTGATTCAACCAACAACTAGCCTAGACAAGAGCCTGAACTTGACAATAATTGATAAAGGTAGCCTGAACTTGACTTTAGCCGGTTTTTACAAATAAAATCCAGTCTAAGTCTGATCTGTACCTGGCTCTGTTCTAGTAATTGAGCTGATCTGACTTTGACTTGTCTAGACATAGGAAAGTTTCAATTCAAACCTGATTCCACCTTTGTTTTCTTGGCCGATTACTCTAAAACTTTGTCTTCAAATAGAAATTGGCTTCCTTTGCTATTTCTTAATAGAAAATTATCGTAATTAAGCCGTGAATTGATCCAAAAAGTGGTTCAAAGCTTAGAAATAGACATTTTGCACTTGAACTTGAACACAAAATTGCAGAGGAATCGAAAGGGAACGAGAAAACGAAGGTGGAATTAGGTTGAGCTTGGGATTTCCCATGTCTAACCCAAGCTGATCTAAAAGAATAGGGCAAAGTCTGATCATGAGCTGATCTGATTCTGGCCTGGTTTGGCCTGGCTTGGCCTGGATTGGCCTGGCTTGGCCTAGCTTAGCCTGGCTTGGCCTAGCTTGGCCTGGCTTGACTTGGCTTGGCCTAGCTTGGCCTAGCTTAGCCTGGCTTGACCTGGCTTGGCCTGGTTTAACCTGGCTTGGCCTGGTTTGGCCTAACCCAGCTGATCTAGTCAAACTTTCCTAGCCCGATCTGATCAAAAGTAAGGAGTTGAGTCAGATCTTTAATTTAAAACAACTCCCAGTCTTTCCTCAATCACATCTCAATATTCAGTCTCTGGAAGACGAGGAGAAGATGACCGAGCACGAGTTGGAGATCAAAAACGTCGGAAAGCAAGACCCAAAGCGACATTTGGGAGAAGAGGTAAACAAATTGGGAATCGAGCAATCAAGCAAATCAGAACACCAATTTATCTAAGATTTTGATTTATCTGTTCAGAAAACTTAGAGAAATCCCTGGGGAGGCTTTTGGAAAGCAAAAACTTGTCACAATTCGTGTTTTTTTGCCTCCCCAAAACGGTGGGCGGTTTTTGGGGGTCACACACTTGTTTCTTCTCTCTAAATCCCCAGGTCACGTTATTGACGATGGTATTCCCAGAGGAGATCCCGAAAAGGCAAAAATCTCAAAAGCTGACGTTGACGCTGATGCTAGGACCTTTATTTTTGAATAGACACCTTTTGCTTTTTAAAATTTTCGCTTTCAAAACTGAAAACGGAATTTCAACTGACTGAGCCGGTGAAATGCTTAGCGAGCCATACCATTCGACGCAGAATTTGATGCTGATTCCGAATCTGTTTTGCATTTTTGCTAAATGACAATCTACCAGTAGTTGCACTAAAATTCTGCATCGGATGGTCTATGGATGGTCACCTTGATTTCGTGACTTTCCCTTGCAAGTAAACTACAGTAAAGCTAGCTTTATATTAGGTTGTCCAGTTATGAATGCGCGTTTTACTATTTTGTAAATTTCTCAAGATATCGAACAGATGTATTGGGTTGGGGAGAATGAGTCGGCGCCAAACTTTAAAGGGACTTTTTGCACACATAAAGCCTTCTTTAAACATACGTTTGGTTTCATCAAAAGGATCCACTATTTCTCTACAAAATCACTTTTGAGAGATTCCACAAAGCTTTTCTTTCGTGGAGTTTATGAACTTCCAAACGCAGCTGGTTAAAATGGCAAAGAGTCCGACTCATCATTTGAACAGTTTCTTTCACATAAACCTTCTTTGGTGTTTATATAAAAAAGATAGAGCACATTCAATTACTTAAGTTGCCAAATTTGCAGGAAGATCCCACCAATGGTTTTTTCTAGATCACAGTTTGTAGTTTTTGTGAAAAAATGGCTTTTTCTTGAGCGGAGGCGCTGTTTGAATTTTCTTTTAAATGTCATTTTGTAGAGAATTAGTTAACCATTCTACTCATATCAAACGCATACTATTTGACGAAGTCGAATAGAAGTTTTAGACATTTTTTTCATTTTCGGCGCCGACTCATTCTCCCCAACCCAATAGATTGGATTGGTGCAGGGTACAGAGTGCTCCATAATTCTCGCAACAAGATAAAGTTCTGATTTTAAGGCAGACAAGAGCATCTATCCATTAATCTATCTATTAATCTATTTATTAATCTATCTATTAATCTATCTACCGTATTTCTTCGAATAGAAGACCGGGTAAATAGTATCATCGCGTACTCCTGCGTAGCAGCCCTTTTTAGAATTTCTTTTCTGCATAAAAGCTTTCAATCAAGTGCTATAGAGCTGGAAAATGGCTCAAAAATACCACATGAGCTAACAGAAAATACTAGACATGGGCTATAGATCTATAGTTATATATCTATAACATTTAGCTATAGCTGTAAATCTATAACATTGAGCTATGGCTATAGATCTATAGGATTTAGCTATAGTTATAGATCTATAACATTTAGCTGTAGCTATAGATCTATAACGTTTATCGGGTGGTCCAGTTATGAATGCGCGTTTTTACTATTTTGTAAATTTCTCAAGATATCGAACAGATGTAGATGAGTGTTATATATCATTCGAAAGCTGAAGATCTCCTCTACATTTTGGAATAAAAAAGTTTTTGAATTCATTCATCTTTTCGGGAAATTGACTGCACAAAGGGAGAGGTCGTTTTCAAAAAAATCCATTTCAGCTTAGCTATTCCTCAAGTTTTATGGTGTAAAATAACCGCCCAGCAAAGAAAACAAAAGTAAAGATGCGCTGAAATTGTTATATTTAAAAAAAAGTTGTATTGATATATCTATTGGCCAAACATCAAACGGTTAACTCGATTTGAGCGAAGCCAAAACTTGATCCAAAGGCACCTTTCCATTTTTTTTGGCCACTTCTTCTTCTGTGCAGTCAATTTGCCCAAAAGCTGAACAAATTCAAAAACTTTTTTTATCAAAATGTAGAGGAGATCTTCAGCTTTCGAATAATACTCATATAAATCTTTTTCTTGATTTCGGTATCTTGAGAGATTTACAAAATAGTAAAAAATGCGCATTCATAACTGGACAACCCAATAGCTTCTATTTAACTTCTATTTACTACTGTAATGAGAGTTAGTAGAAGCTAGAGCCTAAAATTCAATAATCTAAAATATCTAAAGTACAGCAAGCTACAGTAATCCTAAAATCACGCTAATCAATTGCAGGTGCAACAACTTTTGGCCAACAATCTCTGCCAAAATCTCGCCGCCGTTATGGACACTGAATCTTTTAAATAAACGAAAAAATCACCTTTTCTCCGCTCAAATTCTTCAATTTCTCTTTTGAAAATCCCAAAATCTCCAGAAAAAGTTCAAATCTCAGAATTTCATTTCCATTTTTTCTTTGCTAATTTATTTCTTTTCCGGGTGATATTAATCTTGAAAAAAATCATATGAATCAATAAAATTTTGATGCCATTTCAAAGAAAATTCTACAGAAATGTCTTAATTGAGCAATTTTTATTTCAAAAAACTTCTAAATTTTGTTTTTTTTGCATTAGAAATTTGCATTTAAGTCTCTTTTTCTTTAAGATATTTGGGGTCGGCTAATTTCCTAATAACTTTCTTCTAAGTCAGCCAATCTTTATGATTTTGGTTTCATTTTGTTGCACTTATTGAGATCTACAAAATGAAACCAAAAGCATAAAGATTGGCCGATTTAGAAGAAAGTTATGGCGTCCTTTGCTGGGTCAGTCAACTAGGTAGCTACTTTGCGCGGCTACTTTTGTGCAACTAGCCATAACTTTCTTCTAATTAGACCAATCTTTATGATTTTGGTGTCATTTTGTAGATCTCAATAAGTGCAACAAAATGAAACCAAAATCATAAAGATTGATCCACTTAGAACAAAGTTATCAGTATCAGAAAGACTACCAGTTAAATTATGGCGAGTTGCGCAAATGACCCTGTTACGCAAAAAAAAATTGCGGAAATTAGCCTACCCCAGATATTCATTTAGCCGCTAGATTTGCATTCTATTTAACTAGCAATTGATAGCTGAATATCTTATTTTTCAGGTAGAATTTAAAGATATTCAATTATCTAGATAACTTTAGATTTAAATCTCTATTTAACTTGGCAATTCGATAGCTGAATATCTTGTTTTTCAGGTAGAATTTAAAGATATTCAGTTATCTAGATAACTTTAGCTTTAAATCTCTATTTAACTTAGCAATTCGATAGCTGAATTTCTTGTTTTTCAAGTAAGCTTTAAAGATATTTAGTTAAATTTCCAGTATCCAACTTTAAGCTACGAGTTGAAAGGATTCAATTAGCTCGGAAATTCTTTTTTTAAAAATCCCTTTTCTTTTCTATTTACCTGTAAATGCTAATGACCTATAAATACCTGTTAACCTATAAATGCTAATGATTTTCATTTCTAAATTGCATTCAGAGATTTCCCCATTCTTCAAATTCCCTCAAACTCTTCTGAGAATCATGCGGGAATCGGTAATGCTGAGAGATGTGGCGAGAAGAGTCGATTGGGTACTCGTTGGAGGGAAATGGACGAGATTCTCCGTGATGGGCACTGATTTGAGGCAAGATTTGAGAAAAGTGAAGTGAAAAGTGAAGACTTGTATGCTTATGCGTGACAAATAGAAAGCTCAGCTCGCAATCAAAGCTGTTTCCTTTGGAAATGAATCAAAGTTTGTCAGAAATCGATCAGAAAAGATCAGAAAAGATCAGAAATCGTTTACTTGCATGAAAAAATTCAGAGAAAGCTTTAAAGAGTTGTTTTGGAAAGAAAAAAACGAAAGAAAAAGACTTTGACTTTGAATTAGCTTTGATAGCCATAGCTTTGATAGCCAGAGCTTTGATAGCCATAGCTTTGATAGCGATAGCTTTGATAGCCATAGCTTTAACTTAGCCATAGCTTTGATAGCCATAGCTTTGATAGCCATAGCTTTGACTTTCAGGAACTTTTTGATATCATAAAATACAGGAAAATCTAGCTTCTTTACATTTCATTAAAAGTTTAGCAGTTGATTTTGTAAATCTTTAGCTTATTTCAGTCCATCCATGCTGTCAATCGAGAACAAAGGAGAAGATGATGATCGGATAATCATTTTGATGATTCCAGGTAAATCTAGATAATGTTCAGAAAGATAAAGTAGAGAAATGAATGGGAAAGAAAGGAATCGAAGGGAAACGAAAGAAAGCGAAGGGAAGCGAAGGGAAGCGAAGGGAAGCGAAGGGAAGCGAAGGGAATTGAACCCTCGACCTTCTGTTTCTCGGGCAAATGCTCTACCATTGACAAGGGAATGATCTAAATTGAAATGTTTCAGAGTGTCTAGGATCCAGTCGGATCCTGACACCAGTCGGATCTAGGCATTCCAAATATCTATTCGCTTTTTGCTCAAATTAAAATTCTGGCAAGAAAAATGCATTTGAAGTTTAGACCATTCGCCTTTTGTTCGCTATTTGCCTAGCCTTCGTCAAAATCGCCCTCTGGCTAGAATAAAGAATAAGAGCACGCTACACGCGACCGAACTAATAGTAGCGGTGGCCTAGATAGTGTTGCGGACTATAGAACCGGTCACCCCCATTCTCGGCGGATTCGACTCCCGCCGCTTTCACCTTTTTGAAAAGCAGACAAATATCATTTTAAAGCTACAGTGCTATTTACAGTATTACAGACTTTTCAATACTAATCAAAAAAGAATTAAAGACCATTCAATTAAAGACAAAGACAAAGACAAAGAATTAAAGAAATGAGGGGTTTTACGCGAATTTCGGATATCATGTGCTTAAAAATCTTCTGGAACGAGAGCAATCGGCTCTTTCTTTCCCAGGAAGTAGGAAAATAGAAAAGACAAGGAAGAAGGGGAGAAGAAAGGAAGGAAGAAAAGGTAACAAATAACCGTCCTCAGAAAGAAAGTATTCCGAAAAGATAACTCAGAAAATACGAGAGTACCAAAGCTTTTAGGGAACCCAGGAAATGAGGGCTTTTACGCAGATTTTGGACGTCATGTGCTCAAAAATCTTCTGGAAAGAGAGGAAAGAATCGGCGAGAAGTGAGAATTGAATAATATTAATGAATTTAAAAAACGATCAAGCCTAAATTTTTGCTTTAGAAAGTACAACTATCTCTTTTACACGGTTTCTCATTTGAATCACGTGCCAATGCCGCACGAGATTCAACACTCCGGTCAACACAAACATCATGGTCAGTGGATTTCTTTATTGCTCAAAGTTAGTGCAAAATAAGAGCCGGATTACGGTAGGAAATTGGTTTTAAATTGAATTTCATTTCATTTGTGATTTCTATTTCGTAAAAATTTGCTCTATTTGCTGATTAAAAAGTTTTATAATAATGAAAAAGATTAAAAAGTCTCTTTAATATTATTTTAATCAATTTCTCTTATCTTATCTTATCAAAAACTTCTAAAGTTTATATTTTCAAGATCATTTAATAAGCTTATGCTATAAATTTTCGTTTCAGATCGATTCAAGCTCGATGAACAGGTGCAACACAAGCTCGACTTCATCCGCGAATATTTGCCACGAGGACAAAGGGTTTACCTTTTCGGACACTCCATCGGGTCTTACATGATGCTCAAGTGAGCTTAGAAATTGCTGTAAACACTCTACTATCCTTTCTCGTCATTTTAGAGGATTGTTGAACTTTTGATATGCGCTGCGCCTCCTTTGCCATTGGCAATCTAACTTTGAGCTCAAATATCTTTGTGTTGGGCTGTCCAATTTAAATATTCTTGATATCATTGGATGCGCCAAGTCTTTCTCTGTCGATTGGTACAAAAACGATTTAAATTGAACAGCCCAACACCGAGAAATTTGAGCTTAAAGTTGGACTGCCAATGGCAAAGGGAATGGGCCTTGTGGGACCTTGTGGGACCTTTTATAGACGCCCCGCCCCGGCAATCGAACGAGATCAAGAGGATTTAAATGGAACAGCTTTTTCCATTTAAATTTTCGAGCCCAAAGTTAGATTACCAATGGCAAAGGGGGCAGGGGCCGTATAAAAGGTCCGTCGCCCTCCTTTGCCATTGGCAATCCAACTTTGAGCTCAAATTTCTTCCTGTTGGGCTGTCCAATTGAAATAGCTTTTGTACCAATCGACAGAGAAAGACTTGGCGCATCCAATGATATCAAGAATATTTAAATTGAACAGCCCAACCTCCAGATATTTGAGCTCAAAGTTAGATTGTCAATGGCAAATGAGGCAGGGCGCGTATCAAATGTCCGATAACCCGATTAAAGTATTTATCAGCTTTCATTTTCAATCTTTTCTAGAATCCTTCCCTATATCAAAGATGACTACAATATTCGGAAAGCTGTTGGCCTTTTCCCGACCGTTGAACGAATGGCTCTCTCTTACAACGGACAACGATTGGGACGATTGTTAGCAGTATGTTGAACATTTAAATTGAATCTAAATCCTTTTTAATCTTAGAAATGTTTCAATTAGGTGCTAAAAATCAGTTTTCTATAAGATCATCGATAAAGAAATCACTAAATTTGAGTTATAGCTCGTTATTTTTTAACGATCGATACGTTTTTTAACGACATAAAAATTATTTATCGATTCTACGATCATAAAATTTTAAATATATATAGAAAATGATGTAAATTTTCATTAAAAAAAAGAAATTCATCGTTTTGTTCTAAAATAAAAGAAAAATGAATAAAAAAGGTTATTTTTGGTCACCTTGTATTGTGGATGATCTTGTCTAGCTCGTAAAACCAGATTTTTAATACTTTGTAAGTCTATAAAAGATTATAACACTGTTAAAGGCTGCTTGTTACTAAGAAAACAGTTAAAAACTAGCCATTTAGACTCTGAACGAGAACGATTGGCTGGCGAAAGCGATCTCATTTTGGGTGGATCATCTTCCGTTTCCCGTCAAAAGATGGCTCGTCGGTTTCAATCTTGGACAAGAAAGTGTTCGTTTTACTTCAAAAAAAGACTTACCGTAAATACTGTAATAGTACCCCAGTCCCATAATGACGGTGCGGAGTGTTGTGTAGTCTAGCTTTGAACGAGTTTTTCTCGATACTGGTTTAAGCTACAGTGTTCGTTTGAATATCAAAAATAGCTGAAATTCAGGGCTATTTTTTGATATCTAAGCGAGCATTGTAGCATAAACCAGTGTCGAGAAAAACTCGTTCAAAGCTAGACTACGCAACACTCCGCACCGTCATTATGGGGCGGGGGTACTATTAAAGTATTTACGGTATTATTATAAGTGTTGACAAGAAAGTGGACAAGAAAGTGTTCGTTTTACTTCAAAAAAGACATACCGTAAATACTGTAATAGTACCCCAGTCCCGTAATGACGGTGCGGAGCGTTGCGTAGTCTAGCTTTAAACGAGTTTTTCTCGACACTGGTTTATGCTACAATGCTCGTTTTGGTATCAAAAAATAGCCCTGAATTTCAGCTATTTTTTGATACCTATTGTAGCATTGTAGCATAAACCAGTGTCGAGAAAAACTCGGTCAAAGCTAGACTACGCAACACTCCGCACCGTCATTATGGTATGGTACTATTACAGTATTTACGGTAGTTTATAAAGATTCACATTTGAAACTAAATCTAGGTGCCGATTGATGTGACAAAAAGTGCAACCGAGATCCTGCACATGAACGTTTTTCGAAATATCGTGCACATGTCAGCGGATGAGTTGATAAAGGTAGCTGGGTTACAATTCTATTATTTTAAAGTTCTATAATTCAATTCGTAACTTGAGAATTGATCAAAATCTTGCCAGTAAATAGCTTCTTTTTTCTATCTTTTCTTTAGGTAACTGAACTGGATTTGACGCTTTTGGCGCACAAAGATATCACGCATATGTACTACGGGACTTGCGACGGATGGGTGCCGAATACATACGGTAAGCCGCTCAGCAAAGCCAGGGACATTCTAAAATAAACTCTTTGGGCAAATCAAGATCAGAATCAGGTTTAGCCTTCTCTTAAGCTTGAATTCTTTTCTTTTGTGGTCACTGATCCATTTTCAGAAAACCGATTTCTTTTCACCTATTTCCAGAAGCTCTATTTATCTTCTTATTATCAAATAAATACTATCAAACACTTAAAAATTGATTTTAGTTCTTTAACTTGCTAAAGTGCTAAAAGCAAAAAAGTTTTGACCTTGAGGGGATCCGAACCAGGGATGCTAGGGGCTAAGACCCAGCACCCTAACCACTACACTATCCAGTCACCGCGACATGGAATTAATTCACCCTCATACCACAGCTTTGCCAAAAGCTGCCCAAAATTTAAAAGCACTTTTCTCGAAACTGGATGCTATAGAGTAAAACTGATAAATCCGTGGCCTCTGCAAGAGGCTTCGTGGTGTAGTGGATAGTGGGTTAGGATTAGGACGGTTAGGACGGCGTAGCTACTCGAGGGTTCGAATCCACCCACTGTCTTCTTTTTGTTTTTTTGAAAAAACTTTTTATCATAGCTGTACACGTATTCCATTGCCACGAGGATACTCTTACTTACTCCCGGACTAGCCTCGGAGCTGGTCTTGGAGCTGACTTGACTAGCTAATTCAATCCTGATCGTTGCCGTGTCCCTTAGAATTTCAAGTTGACTTTTCTGCGTGTTTCCATATGCTAAGTTGGAACAGTTCCCTAGTCTGATTCCAGAATTGTATGATGATCAGGAGTGGGATAAAAGGCAAGTCCTGGTTTGGTTCTGGTTTGGTTCTAGCCCTGGGCTGACCCTGATGATCTCGCTTCTGTTCTACGCTCTGATGATCTGGCTTCTGTTCAAAATGAACGATTTAGGCAAGATTAGTTGGTTAGTTGATCTGACTCTGACTTACTATTAGACAATTGCCGTCTTGGCCCTGACACTGACCTGGATTGGTCTAGTAAATGAATTTGTTGCTTAAATGTTGTAAAGAATTTGAATTCAGGTGAGGCGATGAAGGATTTATTACCGAAAGGCCATGTGATCTTTGACGAAAACGATTCTGAGCACGCTTTCGTGATCCGAGACGGCGATATCGTAGCGCAACGAGTGATCAATTACATTAATTAAAATTGCAGATTATTATCAAACTTTTAAAGCAATTCTTACTCAGAAGCAGAAGCTGTAAGTTTTACAGTAATCTGTCTACAACTACATGCTTGTAGGCTACAGATTCCTCTATGCTACAGATTCCTGTAGACTACAGATTCCTGTATGCTACAGGTTCCTGTAAGCTACAGATTCCTGTATGCTACAGATTCCTGTAGGCTACAGATTCCTCTATGCTACAGATTCCTCTATGCTACAGATTCCTGTATGCTACAGATTCCTGTCTGCTACAGATTCCTGTATGCTACAGATTCCTATAGACCACAGATTCCTCTATGCTACAGATTCCTGTAGGCTTACAGTACAGTCTGTTCTTTTGTTTGCTTGTAATTGCTTGTAATTGCTTTGCTCAAGATTTCTAGTCCCATTTCTCTAAAAAACAATTATTTATGTTCACTTTTTTGTGTTCTACCGGTATAAAAACTTCTACTTTTTACTTTTTACAACAAAAAAGCATTTTTTTCCTAATAAAACCGTGTTTTTCAACAATTCTAGCTTGTAATTTATTAAATTTTGACGAAATTAGTCAAAAAAACTATAGCCAGTCTTATATTGAATCAAAATTCGCAGCGGGCAGGATTCGAACCTACGCGGGAAGAGCCCAATTGATTTCTAGTCAATCTCCTTGTCTTTCATTCTGATCTAACTTCATTTTTGTTTATTGAACCAAGTTTTAACAAAAACAATTTCATTTCAGATCATTGAAAGGTTCAAAAACAACTAAGAGAGTCACAAAGAGTCACTAAGAGACTCAGAAAGTCAATCTGAACTATTTTAGTGCTTTGGCAGAGGTAAGCATTTACCTTTTTCTAAAATCTGCCCCTTTTTTCTTTCTACCGTAATCTTGTCTCTATTTTTATCTGATCTATCCACTTTTTTCTAATCCTTTTCTCATGATTCTCTTTTCTCTTTTCTCTTTTCTCATCTTCTCAACACCAGCTTTTTAATGCAATCTTTTATCAAAACAATTTCTATAATGTAATCAAATTAATTATTGAATAGAATAAAGCTGGTTGACAAAGAGTATTAAAAGATATAAAGTGGATAGATTGCGATAGAAAATAGAGAGAAGATAGAAAGAGAAAGAGAAAGAGAAAGAGAAAGAGGAATGGTTTAGAAAAGTCACTAAAAGTCACTAAACTAGAAGCTAACTAGAAGCTAACTAGAAGCTAATCAGAAGCTAGCCAGAAGCTAACTAGAAGCTAATCAGAAGCTAATCAGAAGCTAACTAGAAGCTAATCAGAAGCTAATCAAAAGCTAACTATTGGGTTGTCCAGTTATGAATGCGCGTTTTTACTATTTTGTAAATTTCTCAAGATATCGAACAGATTTATATGAGTGTTATATATCATTCGAGAGCTGAAGATCTCCTCTACATTTTGGAATAAAAAAGTTTTTGAATTCATTCAATTTTTGGGAAATTGACTGCACAAAGGGAGAGGTCGTTTTCGAAAAAAAACCCATTTCAGCTTAGCTATTCCTCAAGTTTTATGGTGTAAAATAACCGCCCAGAAAAGAAAAGAAAAGAAAAGATGCTCTGAAATTGTTATATTTAAAAAAAAGTTATATTGATATATCTATGGGCCAAACATCAAACGGTTAACTCAATTTGAACGGAGCCAAAACTTGATCCAAAGGCACCCTTCCATTTTTTGGCCACCTCTTCTTCTGTGCAGTCAATTTGCCCAAAAGCTGAACAAATTCAAAAACTTTTTATATCAAAATGTAGAGGAGATCTTCAGCTTTCGAATAATACTCATCTATATCTTTTTCTTGATTTCGGTATCTTGAGAAATTTGCAAAATAGTAAAAAACGCGCATTCATAACTGGACAACCCAATAGAAGCTAACTAGAAGCTAATCAGAAGCTAACTAGAAGCTAACTAGAAGCTAACTAGAAGCTAACTAGAAGCTAACTAGAAGCTAATCAGAAGCTAACTTCCAAAAACCATTATCCCTCAAAATTGCAAAGCTTTACATCACTTATCCTGATCGTGAATTCATTTTTTTTCTTTGACCGACAGAAAAAGCTGTGTTCTGATTAGTTCAGAAAGGGGAAAAAAAGAAAAATTTCTGTTTCTTCTTTCTTTTTCTTCTTTTCATCGCATTGAAAAGACCATATGATGCAAGGTTGAGTGTCTATGGTCTTTTATTTGTGATAAGGAAATGAAAAGGACGAGTCCAATTAAATAGGCATTCAGAGTCATTCAAACCACTTTAAAATAGAGATTTTTATGATTTATGGAAACTTTGGTTAAAGTTTTCCTTATAATGAAATAAAATTTAATCTTTTTGCCTTGTTTCTTGTCTTCTTTTTGCTTTTTTTGGTGCTGTTTTAGTGTTATTTTGTTCTTTATTTTGATTCTTTTAAAGTATAATGATAATTTGACAAAACTTGAACGAGAATGATTGTCAAAGACCTAGCCAGAAGTTAACAGAAGTTAAATAGAAGCTAATAGAACCTAACTAGAACCTAACTAGAACCTAACTAGAAGCTAACTATTGAATTCCTGAATTGAAAACTGCCGGCTATTGTCATATGCAACACTTTGAGCACTTTCTTCAAAAGAAACCCTTTTTGGTGTCAATGGAAAAGTTGTAGAGAATCAAAAATCAAGCTTATATCCAAATTTTCAGAACTATTCAAAAACTGGTTCTCAAGAAATGTCAAATTTACGAATTTTCACAAAACTTGCAACAAAACTTGCATTTTAAGCGAAACTACTAAGTGTATCTTTGTGGAAATTTGGCTATAAGCCTAATTTTTGATTCTCTACAACTTTTCTATTGACACCAAAATGGGTTTCTTTTGAAGAAAGTGCTCAAACTGGGCTGACAACTGACATCTCCAGTCCTCCATTTTTGAGTCTCACACTTGTCTCACACACAAACCAAAATCCTACTACGAAAGAGGAATCCGCAAATTGCCTGTAAAATGGGCGGAAGTCGTCAATAATAATGGAAATTATTTGGAATGAATTTATGGTTTTATGTTGAATAAATTTTAGTTCAAAGTCCGGCAGTTTTCAATTCACCAATCCAATAGAAGCTAACTAGAAGCTAACTAGAAGCTAACTAGAAGCTAACCAGAAGCTAACTAGAAGCTAATCAGAAGCTAACCAGAAGCTAACTAGACGCTAACTTGAAGCTAACCAGAAGCTAACTAGAAGCTAACTAGAAGCTAACTAGAAGCTAACCAGAAGCTAACTAGAAGCTAACCAGAAGCTAACTGGAAGCTAACCAGAAGCTAACTAGAAGCTAACTAGAAGCTAACCAGAAGCTAACTTGAAGCTAACTAGAAGCTAATCAGAAGCTAACTAGAAGCTAACTAGAAGCTAACTAGAAGCTAACCAGAAGCTAACTTGAAGCTAATCAGAAGCTAACTAGAAGCTAATCAGAAGCTAACTAGAAGCTAATCAGAAGCTAACTAGAAGCTAACTTGTAGCTAACTAGAAGCTAACCAGAAGCTCTCCAGAATAATTGCCAATGACTCCAACAACTGGCTTAAACATCTGGCATCTGGCGCAATTATAGAATAATTCTATTCTTTAACCACAATCTTTTTAAAATTCGATTTTCCTTTGTTATATTATTTAGATTTATTCTATTTTATTTTATTCACTGATTTTCGGCTCTTTGCCTAAAGCTATTTTGCTTTTAAATTGTCGAAATCAATTCAATCAATCAATTCTGGTTAAAATACCCTTTTCTTTTCCAGTTCCTGGTACGATTCCTTTATTTACTGCAGTATAATGTCTAAATCTTTAAATATGATATCTCTATCGATTATCTTTTAGAGATGTGCTCAGTGAACGTCCTGTTGGTCATTTCGATCATTGGAATCTCCGCTGGAGTCATGGCTGGATTGATGTTTGGAGGAGAATACCATGTAAGTCTAGCTAATTGAAAAGTTTTGCCAAAATGAAAACTGATCTTGATCTAATAAATTAAATAGGCATTCAGAGTCATTCAATTTTTTTGGCCAACTTGCAACTCATTTTTAAACACCTTAAACTTGTTAGATTAAGAAGTTTTTATAAGATTTAGATAGCTTAGAATGCCAGCTTTCAGAAATTATTTGTTTTATTAAAATCTATTAACATAAACCTATCTAAAATCGGGCTCAAAGACTTGGCTACCCCAGTCGCCTCCGTTAAGCGTAAAGGTTCAAAAAAGTCAAATTATCTATCAAATTATCTATTTTTTTATGAAATTAACTTTAGAACTGGTCGACTTGCACGATGGCTTTCATTTCAGCCATTTTTGCTTCATACGTCAGTTATTTACATCTCGCTTACAAGAAGAATTGGATGGTGACCTGGGAACCGGCCAAGTACAAGCTTGGGTTTTGGATTGGTGAGTTGATTCATGAGAAATGAGAAATGATTCAAGAACAGGCTTGTTCTAAAGACAATTTCATGGATCAAGAGTCAGGAAGTCAGGTTCTAAACAGGTTTTAGTAAAAGGCTAGCTAACAAAGTTAGAACTCAAGCTTTTTCCCTGGCTTTACAGTCAATAGAGCAGGCTTGTTCTAAAGAGAATTTCATGGATCAAGAGTGAAGGAGTCAGGTTCTAAACAGGCTTGTTCTAAAGACAATTTCATGGATCAAGAGTCAGGAAGTCAGGTTCTAAACAAGCTTTAGTAAAAGGCTAGCTAACAAAGCTAGAACTCAAGCTTTTTCCCTTACTTTATAGTCAATAGAGCAGGCTTGTTCTAAAGAGAATTTCATGGATGAAGAGTGAAGGAGTCAGGTTCTGAACAGGCTTGTTCTAAAGACAATTTCATGGATCAAGAGTCAGGAAGTCAAGTTCTAAACAAGCTTTAGTAAAAGGCTAGCTAATAAAGCTAACAAGTTCTAGCTAACAAAGCTAGAACTCAAGCTTTTTCCTTTACTTTATAGCCAATAGAATTGTTCAATTAAAGATTAAGCTTCCCTTTCAATTCTAAAAATCAATCGTTTCTAAGAGAGACCTGAGATTGAGCTTTAATTTTTAATCTCAAAGTTGCCACTTCATTCTTTCGGAACATTTTAGTGAACTTTAAACTAGAAACTTGTAGAAATTAGTTACTTTTAAATAGAAACTTGTAAAAACTTAGTTTTAAACTATAAATATTCAATTTTCAAATACTTTCTAAATCGAATAAGCAATAAACTTCTCTTTCAGGACTTCTCGTGTTTATTGCTTCTTTCTTGGGAATGATCGGATGCCTAATTGCGGCCGGTATCAAGAAACAAGGATTGACTCATGATGGTGAGAATTTTAGATTTATTTGTTATCTTTCTTCCTTTCTTTCTTTCTTTCTACCTTTCTTTCTTCCTTTCTTTCTTCCTTTCTTTCTTCCTTCTTCCCTTCCCTTTCTTTCCTTCTTTCTCTTGGCAATTTAACGTACTGGATAGGTCAATAGTTAAAGAAATTAGAAAACAAAAGATCGAGGATTCAATCTATTTTTCCTTGCCTTTTCAATCCTTGCCAATTCCTTTACAAAAAACTTCAATCCAACTGAGATACTGGCTCAATTTTTATCAAAGAAAAGCCTTATCTTTTGTATTTTTTATTTACAGAGAAAAAGTTTGACTTTCTTGGGAGAATTTGGAGATAAACTTTACTTGATAAAAAAAAAAAAATACCGACTGGGGCTACCAGTGGTGAATTTATCGCATACACGAAATATATCAATCACAATACAACGACACACACAATACTAGGCTATATCTTAACTTAACCCACGTCATGACAGACGGCTCCCTAACCCTAAGCTCAATGGGGAACTAAATAGCTTTTTTGGTGGTGAAGGGAAGATGACGATGAAGGAGTGGCTTGTCACTTTAAAGAACTGGGGCCACAACCACCAGACTGCCCTCCAGAAAACCTCTCAACCCGAAGGGAAAGGAAATCCGAAGGGGGTGACCATGTCGCATGTGGGGTTCGAACCCTCGACCTTCCGATTAAGATAAAAGACACTTAAACAGTCAGCCACACGTGCTTTTTTAATCCTTAAAAACTTGCAAAAATAGGTTAGCCTTCTTCTAGTGCTTCAAAAAATCGTTCAAAAGATGTGAAGAATTGAACTCAAGCAAAAAGTAGATGGCGTGCCTTGTATCCGGCGCTGCTTAGTTACACAATTTATTAAAGAATCCAGCTGTTCCCGGTTTCAACCCCCTCCAGCCTGCACTACTATTACAGAAAATACGGTTTCCGATTGGTGTTTGCAGCTTTTCCTGATTCCAATTTAGATCATTTGTTTGTTAGCACTTTCGATTCCTCAGTTCCATTCCTCAGTTCCATTCCTCAGATCCACTCCTCAGATCCATTCCTCAGATCCACTCCTCAGATCCATTCCTCAGTTCCATTCCTCAGATCCACTCCTCAGATCCATTCCTCAGTTCCATTCCTCAGTTCCATTCCTCAGTTCCATTCCTCAGTTCCATTCCTCAGTTCCATACCTCAGTTCCATTCCTCAGATCCACTCCTCAGATCCATTCCTCAGTTCCATTCCTCAGTTCCATTCCTCAGTTCCATTCCTCAGTTCCATTCCTCAGTTCCATTCCTCAGTTCCATACCTCAGTTCCATTCCTCAGTTCCATACCTCAGTTCCATTCCTCAGATCCACTCCTCAGATCCATTCCTCAGTTCCATTCCTCAGTTCCATTCCTCAGTTCCATACCTCAGTTCCATTCCTCAGTTCCATACCTCAGTTCCATTCCTCAGATCCACTCCTCAGATCCATTCCTCAGTTCCATTTCTCAGTTCCATTCCTCAGATCCATTCCTCAGTTCCATTTCTCAGTTCCATTCCTCAGATCCATCTCTTTTTTCTCAAACAATCTCAGAAATCAGAGTTTATCTCAGAAAGCAGCAAATGATTTTCAAAATTTCAGAGCTAATGGGCGAAAACTTGTGGATGACGGCCGTTTGGTGTTTCATGACAGCGAAATGGTCGTCTCAAACGGCCGTTTTCTCTCGTCGATACTCGTCGGCGGTGATGCGTCCACTCACAAAAACATCGCCAATTCACTCAACAGTTCAACTTTATTAAAACGATCACATCGTTAACAGCTTTGTTTATCGATAACAGCTTTGATAACAGCTTCGATAACACCTTTGTTTTTGTTTATCTTTCAGTTTTTCACCTTAATTTCATCCATTTCATCCATTTTTTTATAATTTTTTTTTATTTTTGCTATAACTTTCCTGAATTTCACTTAAAATACAGGGTTTTTGAGTTTTGATTTTTAAAATTGTCACTTTTCACTTACTAAATCTTCTTTATTAGATTCTATTTCTTAGATTTGATTTTTTATTTTCATTTTCTTTATGTACAGTCATAATTTCATAGATCTCCTTATCAATTAAATAAAAATTTTTTTGATAAAATCAACTTTTCAACGAAAAACTTTCAATCAAATACAAGAAAATCAAATTTTTTTTAATGTTTTAAGTGAATAATTAGGCTTTTAAAGCTCTTAACTTTATCTAGAGATCATATTATTTTGAACTTTTTATATAATTCAATAAAAGAAACATCTGGCTTTGATTTCTTCTGTTTTATGCTTGATTTTATTGAGTTCATCTACTTAATTTTCAGAAACCGATCGAATTTCCCTTTTGAGTAAATGTTTTGACTTTTCAGAATAATTGAAATGATGTCATTTATCTGTAATTTATCATATACTTAAATTTGAAACGATAATGCTTATCCCTCATTTTTTTGAGTCTTTTTCCTATAGTTGTTAAGCCTTTTGTTTATCTTTTTGTTTTTAAAGACAATCGGGAAAACGATCGGCACAAGATTGATCATAGACAAGAGAAAGGACTCATGAAATGTTGTTAAATGAATTTGCAAAAGAATCATTCTCATCCTTCTTAAAAACGAAGGAAAAAGTCGAATCGGAATCGATCGGAATCGAACCCGAGAGGAAGTCGAGTATCAGTCGATCGCCTTGCCAACGCACTATCCACTAGGCCACCCGGTCACAATTGGCTAAGGGCGAAAAAGACCTCTTAACCTCTAGGAGCCAAAAGGAAGGCATTAGTTATTGCTAACAATATTTTTGAGTTGCTTCCGCTTGAACGGCCATTTCTGCTCACTAAAAATTGCTAACAATCTGAAACTTCTTTTTTCAGAAAGCCAATATTATAAGCTTCATTTTGATATTAAAAAGTGTGTCAAACTCTTTCAAATAGTACTCAAAAAATCACCTTACAATTGCTAGCCTTAATGAGGCCTCGTTAAGGCCTTGTTAAGTATCAATAACTTTTTATAATACTTTTTTTGAAGATTTTTGTTGAATGTTTGGTATCAAAATGAAGCTGATAATCTAGGCTTTCTAATAGAAAAAACTTCAAATTGCTAGCAAGTTCCAATCCAGTGATATGACTGATCAAACTTCAAGCCTCGGTAAGCCTTCAACTTTAAATTATTTAGAACAAATTTCCAGTTGAATATCTTTTTTTGTCATCTACAAAAAAGGCTCTATTTGGTATCATTCGAAAGCCTCAAATGTTCTCTAAACAATGATATAAAAAGCTAAGCTTTAAACGATCTCAAAGCAAAGTTATGCACTTTCAAAACGACCTGCTCCTACAAAATTCCATTTTTACCAAAATCTCCACTACAAAACTGATCAAAAAAAGGATTTTCTAAACGAACTTGTTAGCGTTTTCTTTAAATTTTCCAAAATTCTTGAGAATTTTCTCATTAGACCACAAAATTTGTGCCGATTTTGTTCATTTTAAACTCTAGAATTCACAAATTCACATGAGAACTTCAGGAAAAGCTTTAAAATTTCGAAAATTCATTTCCTAAACTCAAAATGACAAATTCAAGCGCGAATTTCTGGGGAAATTTGACGATTTATGATGGAATCGATGTGGGAGTCACGATTTTCATCATTTTTCTCGACATCTATCTTGTTTCTGCTTTATTTTCGAATAAGCGATCGATTCCCGTTTTTTTCTTGCTCAAAGTTTTCCTAATAAGTGATATTTTTGATCAATTTGGACGCTTTCCACACGACAAATTGTGTATTTGGTTTGAGAAAGAGGTTTTTCGTGAGTTTTTAGCGCTATTTTAAAGGAAATATTCGAAAATTATATTAAATTGAGGAAAAAGTAATGTCGGTTTTGAATTCTCGTGGTTGGCAATGCGATTTTTTATTATTTGTGATATTTGATTGTGAATTCCTGTACAAATTTAACAATATTTTCAAGAACAAAATGCAAGACCAAAAGTTTCGACTTCGAGCCGCTTTGTGGTATGATTTTAAACAAGGAAAATCCGCGGCTGACTCGCATCGGACAATCATTGAAGCTTTTGGGGAAGAGCGCATTAGCGAAAGACTTGTGGTATGATTTTAAATAAGGAAAATCGAAACTTACACAGAAACTTCATCTGTTGAGGGTCGAACAGATCTAATCTGGATTTTGAAAGGAAGAAAGTTGTCGAATCGGAAGATCGCAAAAAAAAAATGAAGCGCTCGCACCAAGTTGTCTCAAATTTCTTGAAGGATCCTTTCAAGTATGGCAAGAAAAAGTCTCCGGGACGTCGTCGAAAGCTCACGGCAACGGCAAGCTCCATTTGCCGTTGCCGCACGCGCTGAACGGCATAACGTCTGTTATCGAATTCGGTGATGTAGCTACAGGACGTCAAGGTACGAATTGGAGCTCCCGTCCACAAAAGCACTCTTTCTCGAGCCATCAAGTGTTACATCCGTTACATCAAAAGATCAGTCATGAAGAAAGCACCAAAACTGAAGCCGGCACACAAAGAAAAAAGGATGTCTTGGGCTCGGGATCACATCACCATCGATCGGAAAAAAAGTAAACTTCTTGCCTTGAATTGTTAACCCCTTATATCAAATATATCAAATTGATTGGAAATCATTTCAAATCAAGTTTAGAACCAAAATTTCTCAAACAGTTTGCCGGCAAAGCCTCAAACGAGCCTTAAGCCGACCTCAAACGTTTCACAGAGTTCAACTGATTCAACTGAACTGCGTGTTTGGAATTGTTCGTTGTCCAAGTCGATCCAAAATGTGTCACAAGAGTGGATTCGTTGTAAGAATCGGAGCCTGTTTCATCAGTTCTCGCTTCAAGAGATCGCAAAGAAATTGAAACGCTCGCACCAAGTTGTCTCAAATTTCTTCAAGGATCCTTTCAAGTATGGCAAGAAAAAGTCTCCGGGACATCATCGAAAGCTCCGCGCTGAACAGCATATAGAACGTCTGTTATCGAATTCGGTGATGTAGCTACAGGACGTCAAAGTACGAATTGAAGCTCCCGTCCACAAAAGCACTCTTTCTCGAGCCATCAAGTGTTACATCCGTTACATCAAAAGATCAGTCATGAAGAAAGCACCAAAACTGAGGCCGGCACACAAAGAAAAAAAGGATGTCTTGGGCTCGGGATCACATCACCATCGATCGGAAAAAGTAAACTTTTTTTGCCTTGAGTTGTTAACTATTTTTTCTTTGTAGGTCATCTTCAGCGATGAGAAAAAATTTAATTTGAATGGTCTCGACGGCAACAAGTACTATTGGCACGATAGATTTCAGCTAGACACTCTATACTTTCAAAACATATCTAATTTTTACAAATTTTTACAAATTTAACAATATTTTCAAGTACAAAAGTGCAAGACAAAAAGTTTCGACTTCGATCCGCTTTGTGGTATGTTTTTAAATAAGGGAAATCGAGGAGCTTTGTTGGAAACTTCTGCCCCAATCTCAACGCCGTCCAACTCTTCAAACATAGCATTGGTCTTCTTGGCGGTATGCCGCTTGGCATTGTCTTGCTGGAGGCTCAAGTCCTACTAAGTCTTGTCTTGCTCTTGTCTTGTTTGGTCCGGATCTGACCCCATCAGATTATTTTTTGTTTCGGTCGTTGAAGAGTTTTCTTCTGGGAGAAAAGTTCGAGAATCATGCACAGATCAAAAAAAAAGCAGTCGACACTTATTTTGGCTCGAAAACTCCCCATTTTTTTTTTGAGGATGGGATCAGGGACTTGTGACAAAGATGGGAACAAACCATCAATAATAATTGAGAATATCTCATTGATGTGCGTTTGTTTATGTTTTTAGCAATAAACAGTTTTGTGACAAACACCGACATTACGTTTTCCTCAACCTAATAGTAATATTATTGAGATTTCATAGAAATTATTTACTTTTAGCTCCATTTCTCGTCAATCTTTGCGCATTTTTTCAACTTTTTCGATGGTATCTTCAGCTAATGCTTATCCCGTTGTTAAGTGTTTTCCATTTTTGCTCACTAGCTTATCCGATTAAATATCGGAGTCTTCGAGTCAAAGATACGGTCATGATCCTGTTAATCCTATGCATTTTACCATCAGGTTTGTTTTATTCGCTTTTTTTCAGAGTTTTTCAAAGAGTTTTTTCAAATAAAGGATTCACTTTTGTGCAATACGCGGAATGCTGTGGTTTCATCTATCATCTCGATGGTTTTTACTGGAATTTTGATGAAACAAAGGACTCGTATATGTTCATGCAAATTTCGACCTGGGTTTTGCAGGTGGGAATGGCTTTTTTTTGAGTCCAGTCTTTAGAGAAGATAGAAAAAATCACAAGCGAAGCCAAGCTTGATTAAGAAAGCCAAGCTTGATTAAGAAAGCCAAGCTTGATTAAGAAAGCCAAGCTTAACTCAACAAAGCCAAGCTTAACTCAACAAAATCAAGCTTAACTCAACAAAATCAAGCTTGTGCAGGTTCTTCAGTGTCCTGTATTGCTTAAAGATATTGTAGAATCCTAGTACGCTGTTCGTTAAAGTATTATAAGTGCTTTATTGATAGAAAAGTAACCTACTCTTTAGCCCATTCGAAACTTCTGCAGCGAATAATGGCTGCAGCAAAAACTCAGGAACGGACCGCTGCAGCGATTATTCGCTGCAGCGCTAATTGAGCTATTTTCATTCAATTAATTGCTTTTTTTTTTGCTGTTTTTCAGCATTTATGTATATTCCAATTGTAACAGATCTACAAATTACGTGGGCAAAAAAGATGTGTCATATTTACCCGGAATCAATGCAGCCTCTGGTTTTGCATTGAAATGTTCCATAATAGCTCTAATCTTATAAAGCCGATCTCCTGCAGGATCCAGTTCATTATCACAAAAACGCAGGTTGCGAAGAATAGATTCAAATTTTGGGATGTGGGAAAATGTGGGATACATAATGTGGGACATGTGGGAAAATCCTCCTAATCCAGGCCTGCTACTCCAGTGTGGGACATGTGGGAAAATCCTCCTAATCCAGGCCTGCTACTCCAGTAGTCACGAATCCTCGATAATTTGACGATTCCCATTTGAAGCCAGGAAGAGCTTGAAAGATTTTACATCGAAAGCCTGCCAATTTGTTTTCCTTTTTCCATGTTTATTAGATTCGCCTACTAACATATTGATTAATTTGTCGTCGATAAAATAAGAACAATAATCGATAGGATCTTGAAAAGTACTGAAGTCAAATCCAAATCGTTCTCCATCAAAAATAAATGGTGTAGGAGACTCTCTTACATCTTTCCAACCATAAATAAACTGCTTCGGAGTCAAAAATCTCAAAAAAGGGCTTGGTCCGTAGACGAAAAAAAAGAAAAAACGCTGCGGTTTCGAATGGGTTAACAAGAAAAGTCAAAAAAATCGGCTATCCCAGAATTGATCAAGTTAACCCTTTTTGTCGAAAATCATTCTGAAAATTGTTCAAATAATGTCGTATTTTCGATAAGTTATCTAAAAGTTATGTCGATAAACTAAAAGTTAAGATTAAAATCCTGAGGGTAGCCTGGCTGTTTTGCCGGTTTTATTTGAGCAACCCAAGTTTTCGAACCAATCGGACCTAGAAGTATGAAAGTGAGTCATTCGGTCAGTCACAGTACCTACTGTGACTCACTGTGGGTTCAGCTTTGGACTCATAGTCTAGCTTTGGACTCATAGCCCAGCTTTGGACTCATAGTCTAGCTTTGGACTCATAGTCTAGCTTTAGACTCATAATCTAGGTTTGAACTCATAGTCCAGCTTTGGACTCAAATCCTCGGTGATTCTTTGGGATTTCGGGGCGTCCAAGTGACACTTTTCTGGCCCAGAATTTCACGGAGAATCGAATAGTACTATTTGCGGAACGATTCAAACAACTTTGCTGAACAAAATTTTCAAAAGTGCAAGATTTTCTTAAAGAATTTTGAACTCTTGAAAATTTTGTTTAACAAAGTTGCTCGTATCGTCCTGCAAATGGTACAATTCGAATCTCCGGGAAATTCTGGGTTAGAAAATTATTACTTGGACGCCCCGAAATCCCAAAGAATCACGGAGGATTTGAGTCCAAAGCTGGACTATGAGTTCAAAGCTGGACTATGGGCCTAGAGCTCGACTATGGGTCTAAAGCTGGACTATGAGTTCAAAGCTGGGCTATGAATCCAAAGCTGGACTATAAGACCAAAGTTGGACCCACAGTGAGTCACAATAGGTACTATGACTGACCGAATGACTCACTTTAATACTTTCACTTGGAGTCCAAAGTAGCCAAACCGGGAATCTTGGTTTTCCGATAAGAGAAACTCAAAATTCCTGGTTTAGATTGGTCTGAAAACTTGAGAATTCTCATTGGTTTGAGTTTGGTTGTAGTTTGGTTGTAGTTTGGTTGTAGTTTGGTTGTAGTTTGGTTGTAGTTTGGTTGTAGTTTGGTTGTAGTTTGGTTGTAGTTTAATTTTAGTAGCTTTGAAAGATTCTGTCAGCATAATAGTATAGAAACTTTTGGTTATTTAACAGTAATCTCTCAGCAGTTTACTCAATCAATCATTAATTAATCAAACAAATAAATGAAAAATGAAACCTTTTTATATTATAAATAAGAAAAATACTTGAATTTTCAGTCAATAGCCGGTCTCTCGTTAATCCTCGCCGATATGTATCTTGTCTTAAAATTACGACAAATTCGATTCTCCTCGAGAAAAGTCGAGCGATTAGCTGTTCCCATTTCTATCGCTACAATCACCAATGTCACAAATTTAGGTAGAGTTTAAATTAACGTTAATTTAAACGATTTAAACGACTTTATAGCTTTACTCATCTAAATTCAATTTTGCAGAGAGTACAATGAAAGAAAATCCACCTGCTCAAGCTCAAGCTGGCATTATTGTACTTTCGAATTTCGGGAATCGAAGGGGAACGGTTTGTTTTAAAAGAAAGAATAAAAGGCAAGCACTTTGTACCAAAGAACTTTGCCAGAAAGCAAGCGAACCGCACAAAGAACACTTTACCAAACAATATTTGATTCATTGAAAGTACTTTGAACTACTTGAGAGTACTTTGAACTACTTGAGAGTACTTTGAACTACTTGAGAGTACTTTGAACTACTTGAAAGTACTTTGAACTACTTGAAAGTACTTTGAACTACTTGGAAATACTTTGAACTACTTGAGAGTACTTTGAACTACTTCAGAGTACTTTGAACTAATTGAAAGTACTTTGAACTACTTGAAAGTACTTTGAACTACTTGAAAGTACTTTGAACTACTTGAAAGTACTTTGAACTACTTGAAAGTACTTTGAACTACTTGGAAATACTTTGAACTACTTGAGAGTACTTTGAACTACTTCAGAGTACTTTGAACTAATTGAAAGTACTTTGAACTAATTGAAAGTACTTTGAACTACTTGAGAGTACTTTGAACTACTTGAAAGTACTTTGAACTACTTGAAAGTACTTTGAACTGCTTGAAAGTACCTTGAACTACTTGAGAGTACTTTGAACTACTTGAAAGTACTTTGAACTGCTTGAAAGTACTTTTAAATCTTTCAGATTTTCACATCACCAGAAACTCGTCTCTCATTCGCTTTTATCTATTTCAGTCTTGGCTTTGGTCTTGCAAATGTTTCTTTTTATGTGTTAAATGGGTAAGAAAAGGTTTTTCTTTTCTTTGCTTTGCTAAAAATCCCAACCTCTCACCATAATTTAGCACAAATCTTTCAGGAAAACCGGTTTCTTGTTCTCGCTTTGTGGATGGATTTCCACGCTAATCGAGTACACAAAATATATCGGATATTTGGGCTCGATTAAGAGAAAATAAAAGGGAAAACACGGAAAATCGCTACAAAATGTAATTTTTTCATTTAAAGGAATGAAAGTAGACTATCAAGTGACTATAAAGTGATTATAAAGTGACTATAAAGTGAAATTTTAACTGCATTTCCTTTACACAATACTTCACAAAGAAAAAAAAAGAGAGAACTTGATTACTTGAAAATTTAGAGAGAATTTAAGCTAAGCTTAAGCTTATAGCGTAAGCTTCAAGTGGCTCAGCTTGGCTTAAACTGGGCATGGATTGGCTGAGTTAAACTGGGCTGGATCAGCTGTCAATTCACTAAAAACAGCAATGACCTTAAGAAGGGTCAGAGTGGGAGAGCATAAAGCAACTAAACGTCCGAATACGTTCCGTAATTCAGTGCCACTCTGTAAGTAAGCTTCAAGTGGCTCAGCTTGGCTTAAACTGGGCATGGATTGGCTGAGTTAAACTGGGCTGGATCAGCTGTCAATTCACTAAAAACAGGAATAACTCTAAGCAGTGTCAGAGTGGGCGAGCATAAACTAACTAAACGTAAAAAGAAAAAGTTTCCAAGGAAATTTGATTGATAGATTTATTTAAAGAAGACTTCAAGCTTTCAAATGATGTATAACATTTGGTAGATTACGAGTGAAATTTGGTATTTGTATATAAAGTATTCAGATGTTTCCATAATTCAGTGTCACTCTGTACGTAAGATTCAAGTGTCTTAGCTTGCCTGAAACTGAGTTGGATGAGCTGTCAAATCAGTTAGTCAGTAAGCTTCTCCTTTATTTACAATTTTGCAAAACCACAGATCTTTCTGTTATTTTAGTATGATAGTTATGAAAGGGTTGACCAAAATTGAGCATAATTTTATCTTGATCTTGGCTTGGCTTTGTGGAGGAAACGTTAGAACAGAAATTGGCTTTTGTACAGGATTGATGTACAGGATTGAAAGCTTTGAACAAATTTAGGTACTTATTGTTACCTAAACTTAGCTTTGATGGACGAAAAATTGACGTAGAAAGAGTAGAATTGTAAATAAAGGAGAGGCTTACTTATTGATTGATTGATTGGGGTGAGTTTTTGAGATTTCTTTAAGAAAAGGAAATTCCTACATTCTTATCGTTATTATATTGAAATTGAAATCAAAAATGATTGGTGAATGATTGGGGAATGATTGAGAAATGATTGATGAATCTTTCCTCATTATGGATTGAATTACTGGATTGATGTACTGGATTGATGTACAGGATTGAAAGCTTTGTACAAATTTAGATACTTATTTTTACCTAAACTTAGCTTTGAAGGACTAAAAATTGACATAGAAAGAGTAGGATTTTAAATCGTAAGGCAGCTTTCCCCAAAAAATTATCCACACGCCAGCAAAACCAATTTTGCAAAATGCTTATACAGTGCGGTGCAAAACCATACGCCATCCCCTAAATTTAAATTTTCTACGGCTTCCATGCAGGTAACAAAAAAACTGAGAACGTAGTTAGATTCAGGACTAAAAATAACCCTGAAGTCCCAAAAATCATCGACATAGCATGAATAGGGAAAATGTAACAGCCAAAAAAACGAAAATTCGCCCGGAGGCAAAACCATAGGCCAGCCCCCAAATCATTTTGGTGTCGTTGTGGCATTTTTGTTCAATTTTTATGATAACAAGGTTTATTTATAACAATAACAGTTTAATATTTTGTTGTCTGTCCCTGGCGACTGATCACGTCAAATATTCGACTCGGCATGCTGTCAACTAGCTTCTTGATGGTGCTTCTTGGAATGGCATCTTTGAGTGCTTGAACATTTGCGTATTGTGTGGAATTGCCATAAACTCGACGAGCAACCATTCCCCACAGATTCTCAATGGGGTTGAGAATCTGTGGGAACATCGGGGGAGCACGCAGGCCAATCCAATACCGTATTCTCTCTAATAGTAGTGCGCGCTACTATTTTTTCAACCCCCTCCTGGACCGCAATACTATTAAAGAGTTTTATCATTTACCAAAGTAAGACAGATATAAGATTTGTTCCAAAAATTCTTGCAATTCTTTCACGTACTCCTTTGGCTCCTTTTCAAATCCAGTTGTGGGCCGGCGAGTTGACAATTTGTGTCTTGACATGAATAAATTTAGCCATCCCTCTGATGCCGAAAATTCCTCGTCACCTTTCCACATTAACTTGGCTTGGCATTGAATCATTTTTCGTATCACTCGCATCTTCTTTGCCCGCATTTCTTGAATCCAAGCAACAAGCTCCTTGTCAAAATCGACATCCTTGAGCTTTCGTCCACCCCCTCTCTTGACTCCAAAAAGTCCAATACCGTATTCTCTCTAATAGTAGTGCGCACTACTATTTTTTCAACCCCCTCCTGGACCGCAATACTATTAGAGAGTGCACTACTATTAAAGAGTTTTATCATTTACCAAAGTAAGACAGATATAAGATTTGTTCCAAAAATTCTTGCAATTCTTTCACGGGCTCCTTTGGCTCCTTTTCAAATCCAGTTGTGGGCCGGCGAGTTGACAATTTGTGTCTTGACATGAATAAATTTAGCCATCCCTCTGATGCCGAAAATTCCTCGTCACCTTTTCACATTAACAAAAATTATATAATATTAAAATCGAACATGATGGATTATTTTCTAGGATTGAGTTTTGATAACAATAAAGCTTAGCGCCGCAAAAGGTAAGTCAATTCTCAAAGTTTATACAGGTATATAAGAGCAAAAAATGACTATAGCTTTGCGCGAACCTCGTAAGCAAATTTGAGTTAATGTGCCACTAAAACAATGTGTGGAAACAACAAAAAGATGTTTTTGCACTTTGCACAACAATTTTAGATTTTTTGCTAAATTTTTCATGTGAAGAATAGTTAATAAATTAATAAAAAAAGCCTTTTGCTTGCTTGAATAGCTTTAGAATGTCACATAAACATAAAGTCAAAAAGGTTTAGATGAAAAAGAAGCACCAGAAATTCAAATTTTCGAGGGTGCACTACTATTTTTTTGAACCCCCTCTTGGACCGCAATACTATTAGAGAGAATACGGTAATCCAATAATCCAATAAGCTCTTTAGGCCTCCTTATAAAGAATCTGAAGTGAAAGGGCGGGACTTATGTTTGCCAGAGATTTAGCTTTTAAACTAGAGAAAAAGTATGAAATGACACCAAAATTTGGTTTTGTTGTATTGCACCGGGTGAATTTTCGTTTTTTGGCTGTTACATTTTCCCTATTCATGCTGTATCGATGATTTTTGGGGTTAAAGGGTTATTTTTCGTCCTGAATCTAACTACGTTTTCAGTTTTTTTTTGTCACTGGCACGGGAGCCGCAGAAAATTGAAATTTAGGGGGTGGCGTCTGGTTTTGCACCGCACTGTACCGATCCGATCCACCTAACCACTCTAATTTATTTCCCCAAAACGAAAAAACAAACGAACAACACTCCAATCACATCTAAATACAAATATTCTCTATACGATAACTCCATTCCTTTTCGTTTAAAAGTCGGATATTCAGATCCTTTTTTGAGAGATCGATTTATTGCCCAAGTGGCCAAATCAAGAGATTTAATTGGTCGATCCAAGAAAAGTGAACGGAAACGAGTCATCGCTTGTTTATAGCTTTCAGCTAAAGATCTTTTTCTTGTTTTCTTGTTTTCTTCTGTTTTTCTTACTTGTTGCCGTTTTTAAAGCTTTTCGAAGAATCTCCGGCGTCAACTTGTCCTTTTCCAAGGTGAAGCCAAAGCCTGAAAATGAAATTGAATGAAATGATGAAGATTTTGCTTGGTTTGGCATACTTCTAAGTATCCAGCTAGTCCATAAACTAGATAGTTTCTGTTACAGTAACCAAATTAGCTTTTAAAGATTGAGTTACTCTAGCAGCAAAGTCAAGCAAGCAAGCAAAGTCAATTTGGGAACAAGACCCCGTGGATTCGAGTCCTCTGTCTATATAAGGCACGTTGTCACGATAAGTTAACAGCATTCCCTAGTTAGACTTGGATTCTCTTTCCAAGTCTTTCCCTCAGGGTCCAAAAGGGCGTACGCCCGACAGACACGCGCACTAACCACTACACCACTGAGGCCGTTGACTGAAGAAGAAGTGTGCCGCCCTCCAGCGCTCAAAGAGACCCCAAAAACTTGTATGCCAAATATCTCGCGATAGAGAAGCGTTTGGCAAAAACTGATTCCAGGCTCGGAATCAGCGTGAAAAACTGCATCAGATAGGCTATTTTCTGAGGCAAAACCATGATAAGTTAACAACATTCTTTAGTAAGAACTTTCCAGGTTGGAAAGCTAAACCGTTGCTGTCAGCGCACAGACTCTGGTGAATGGCCATCGAACTAGCCTGATCTCAACCCTCTCCATTATTCTATTTGGTTCATTCTGGTTCAAAGGCTTTTGCTAAATCCCACACATCAAGCGCTTTAAAGCACGACTCGATTTCTTTGACTACAATTTAAAACAATGATCTGTTGAGCAACGATCTGTTGTGCAAGGTCTGTTGTACAAAGATCTGTTGTCCAACAATTTGTTCACCTGCTTGTCGACACATCTCCGCGTTCAGCGTCTGTTCGGCCAAAATCGGCATGAACACCACAGGAACTCCCGCACAAATCGTGTCTTTTACACTAAAATCAACTAATTGGCTAAGACATTGACTTGTCAACTGAAAAAAATGATCAAAAACATTGCTAAAACCAGCTTTAACCCTCACCTCTTCATTCCACCATGTGACACGAAAGCGACAGTCTTTGGATGAATGAGAATCTCCTTTTGTGGAGCCCATTTTGTGATCCGAACATGAGATTTCACGTCTTTCACATGTTCAGCATCACCAGTGTACGTCCAAATGATTCTGAATTGAGTAAACACAGGCTTTATTTACCGAAATTTGGCTTTATCTACCGAAATTCGGTTAAATCGTTCACAGCGTCAACAAAGGTTTTTATCGTTTCAATTGGAGCGAACTCCCATTTCACATTCGTTCCAAAAGCGATCAGAATTGTTCCCTAGAATAACTGGAATGTTTGAATTGTTCCCTAGAATAACTGGAATCTTTGAAGAGTGAAAGTCGAATTGTGAAAGTTCACCTGTGATCCTGGATGGTTCACATGCTCCAAATAGTCTCCTTTAAGCTCACCAAACTTGGGACAATGAAAACCAACATGAAGAGTCTCTGTACCAACTGAAAAATGATTTATCGTTATTTTAAGAGAAAATTTTCCCATTTTCCCATCTTCCCATCTCCCCATCTTCCCATCTTCTCATCTTCCCATCTTCCCATCTTCCCATCTTCCCATCTTCCCATCTTCCCATCTTCCCATTTTCCCATATTCCCATTTTCCCATCTTCCCATCTTCCCATTTTCCCATTTTCCCATCTTCCCATCTTCCCATCTTCCCATTTTCCCATCTTCCCATCTTCCCATCTTCCCATCTTCCCATCTTCCCATCTTCCCATTTCCCATCTTCCCATCTTCCCATCTTCCCATCTTCCCATCTTCCCATCTTCCCATCTTCCCATCTTCCCATCTCCCCATCTTCCCATCTCCCCATCTTCCCATCTCCCCATTTTCCCTAATACAGTGCGTTTAAAAGTGCTCCACCTAAGAAAAGTGCTTTATCTTAAGTTAGAAGCATTTTAGAGCTCTAGTTCTTTTTTTTATTAAACAGAGCACTTTTAAATTTTTTATTCGTTTAAGAATTGTGCGATTACTATGGCTACTGATAGCTTGAAAGATGATTTCATTCACTGTTTCAAAAATGAAGAGTCGATTCCTGAAGGTACAAAACTTCTCGCAACTTGAACAATCGATTAATCGAATAAAGGATAAACTGATTTTGGATTCGATGGAAATAACGATTCTAGTGATCTTTCTGTTTTTGATTTTTTGTGAAAAATGAAGGGCTGATTCCCTAGAACAATTGGAAATAGCTGGTTGAATTAAAGTTTAACCCCGGGTGGTTCACATGCTCTAAGTAATCTCTCACTCTGAGTGGATTGAGTGAAATGAGCTGCCAAAAAAATCTGATCATTCACTCGTTCGAGAATTGTGCGATTACTATGGCTACTGCTACTACTATGAAAGATGGTTTCATGAGTGTTTCAAAAATTGGAACCAAATTGGATGTTTCATTACTATTCGGCTCCCTTTTGATTCATATTTGGTTCCAATTCAGTTCCTATTTGGTTCCTATTTGGTTCCTATTTGGTTCCTATTTGGTTCCTGTTTATTTCTATCGGTTCTTATTTGGTTCCAATTCAGTTCCAATTCAGCTCCAATTCAGTTCCTATTTGGTTCCTATTTGGTTCATATTCAGTTACTATTTGGCTTCTATTTGGTTCTTATATGGTTCCTGTTTATTTCTGTCGGTTTTGATTTGGTTCTTATTTGGTTCCAATTCAGCTCCAATTCAGTTCCAATTCAGTTCCTATTTGGTTCCTATTTGGTTCCTATTTGGTTCCTGTTTATTTCTATCGGTTCTTATTTGGTTCCAATTCAGTTCCAATTCAGCTCCAATTCAGTTCCAATTCAGTTCCTATTTGGTTCCTATTTGGTTCCAATTCAGCTCCAATTCAGTTCCAATTCAGTTCTTATTTGGTTCTTATTTGGTTCCTGTTTTATTTCTCTCGGTTTTGATTTGGTCCCAATTTGGTTCCTATTTGGTTCCAATTCAGTTCCTATTTGATTCCTATTTGATTTCTATTTGGTTCATATTTGGTTCCCATCTCGTTCCTATTTGGTTTCAATTCAGGTTTCAAAAACGAAGAGTCGATTGCTGAAGGAGCAAAACTTTGTCGATGGGCCAGTGATGAAAGGTTATATGCTGGATGAGTCAGATCAGAGTCAGGCTTGATTTCTAGCTGTCAGGGATCTTCTGTGGACTTTCTGTGAAGCCAGATAGGTTCAACCATTACTGTTCTCTGGTAATAGACTCATGCACTAGACTCATGGTAATAGACTTTGTGATGATAATCTCTGAATGCGTGCAATGATCTAAATTGATACAAATGCTCCACATAGCTCTGGTACTCATCGTAAATTCGACACGAGTTCTTAAATGAAAAACAAAAGTTATGGCTTTTCTTAAAACTTATGGCTTTGGAATGATTAAGGTAGATTTTCTCTCACCTGGTTGCGGAAAGTTGAACATTGTCAGCTCCTCATACAAATAGAATGAAGCCTTCTTTGCCACTTCAGCCATTTGAAGCCCGTCGAGGCCCAAATGTTTCACTCCATTTTGAGCATGGAAATGGATATTCATGTGAACAAGAATGAAATCGGCTACTAAACAAAATTCTTTTCAAACTTTAAAATATGTTTCTTACATGATTCTCTGAAAGTGTTCACGCGGCTCCAAAAGCTTTTCGGCTCAAAGCGAGCGCTTGGAATTGAGAAATAGGCCGGACGACCTATGAAGTTGTTTCCTAAAATAGTGTAGTCTGTCTGTACTTCTGAAAATAGCACGATTTTATCAGCCTTCAAATTTCTAGAGCCTACGGAAGTATTCTATGCCCAAAGTTACAGCTAAACCACCTATAACAGGTCTACAACTTGTTTAGAGATCATATTATTGTTAACTTTTTAAATCGTTGAATAGAAGACAAAGAATATCTTCTTTTATATCATTTATAAAGCAAGAGAAAAACCAACTGAGCCAATTTTCCCGTTTTTGGGCTTCGCCATGCGCAAATTTTTGGTTATCGTACATTTGGTAGGCTTCCCACGCCTTTGCCATTGGCAATCTAACTTTGAGCTCAAATATCTTGCTATTGGGCTGTTCAATTTAAATACTTTTGGTATCATTGGATGCGCCTAGTCTTTCTCCGTCGATTGGTACAAAAACTATTTAAATTGAACAACCCAACACCGAGAGATTTGAGCTTAAAGTTGGATTGTAAATGGGAAAGGGAACGGGACCTTGTGGGACCTTTTATAGACGCCCCGCCCCGGCAATCGAATGAGATCAAGAGGATTTAAATGGAACAGCCCAACATCAAGATATTTCAGCTCAAAGTTAGATTGCCAATGGGAAAAGGGGCGGAGCGTGTATAAAAGGTCCGTCGCCCCGCCCCTTTTGTCATTGGCCATAACTTTGAGCTCAAATTTCTTGGCGTTGGGTGGTCCAATTTAGTTAGTTTTTGTACCAATCGACAGAGAAAGACTTGGCGGATCCAATGATACCAAAAGTATTTAAATTGAACAGCCCAATAGCAAGATATTTGAGCTTAAAGTTGGATTGCCAATGGCGCATATCAAATATCCCAGAATCCAAATTTTTGAGACTTATTCCTTTAAATTTCGCCTATTTTTCGACAAGTTCTACATTTTATTAAAAAATGAATTAATCAAACAGTTTCGAAATTGAAAGAACGATTCGATTCGACTTGAAACACTTAGTTTGTTTATTTTTGACTGAAAATAGTTGAAAGACGTTAACTTTGCTAAATTCTATAGAATCTCTTTGTGTAAAGGTTTTAAATAACTCACCTAAAGCCAAGTGATGCGTCATGACATGAGTGCTTGCACACGAAGCTATCGTCACGTATGGAATTCCTGAAGTTGATGAATTTGCTGTTTAATGCAAGTAAGCCGGAAGCCGACAATAAGCCGGAATCTTTTAAAAACGCAGTTAGCTGGATTGTTAGCTGAATTGTTAGCTGAATTGTTAGCTCAATTGTTAGCTCAATTGTTAGCTCAATTGTTAGCTGAATTGTTAGCTGAATTGTTAGCTGGATTGTTCGCTGGATTGTTCGCTCAATTGTTAGCTGGATTGTTAGCTGGATTGTTCGCTCAATTGTTAGCAATTGAGCTAACAATTGAGCTCAATTGTTAGCTCAATTGTTAGCTGAATTGTTAGCTGAATTGTTAGCTGGATTGTTCGCTCAATTGTTAGCAATTGAGCTAACAATTGAGCTCAATTGTTAGCTCAATTGTTAGCTCAATTGTTAGCTGAATTGTTAACTGAATACTTTTTCAAGACATACAGAATTCGACTGGTAACCTTTAATTCAACAGGTTACTTTAATTCCCTTAAAGTAATCTCTAAAGCCTTGATCACCTTCAGCTTTCCTCTTCAACGCCAATCCAAATCCGAGGATAGAGAACAACTCGTCGATCACCAGTAAATCGAAATCTTTCTCTAAAAACTTATTCATCTAAAAAAGGGTTTAAATTCTTTTCCTTTTTCTAAACCTCTTCTTTATGTTCAATAAAGCATTTTTGTAGAGCCATCTCGCCAACCATATAAATTGACGCAAAGGTTGACGCTCCAAAATAATGACTCCAAACGGCGCGCAAAACTTCTGTATAAGAAACATCGCCTAAAAATAGTTAAAGTATTTGAGGAAATGAATCTAAGCCCTACAGAAAGCTTGTACAAAATAAGTTACATTATTGAATTTTGATGTCTCTTGCTTGTTTTAGCTTGCTTTTAAAGTTTCTAGGTCAACCAAATCTACGCTAAAACTATTACTTGATTGAGCCAGGTCAGATGTTAGGTTAAAATCGAGCTTCTGGATTGAGCCAGGTCAGATCTTAGATTAAAATCGAGCTTCTGGTAGAGCCAGGGGAGATGTTAGGTTAAGATCGAGCTTCTGGATTGAGCCAGGTCAGATCTTAGATTAAAATCGAGCTTCTGGTAGAGCCAGGGGAGATGTTAGGTTAAGATCGAGCTTCTGGTTGAGCCAGGTCAGATGTTAGGTTAAGATCGAGCTTCTACTAGAGCCAGGTCAGATCTTAGGTTAAAATCGAGCTTCTACTATAGCCAGGTCAGATCCTAGGTTAAGATCGAGCTTCTACTAGAGCCAGCTCCGATCTTAGGTTAAGATCGAGCTTCTGGTAGAGCCAGGGGAGATCTTAGGTTAAAACCGAGCTTCTACTAAAGCCAGGTCAGATGTTAGGTTAAAATCGAGCTTTTGGTAGAGCCAGGTCAGATTTTAGGTTAAAATCGAGCTTTTGGTAGAGCCAGGTCAGATTTTAGGTTAAAATCGAGCTTCTACTAGAGCCAGGTCAGAGCTTAGATTAAAATCGAGCTTCTACTAGAGCCAGGTCTAGCCAGGTCAATTCAATGAAGCCTAAGTCAACTCAAAAGCAGAAAGATTAAGCCAAAAGCCCAACCAGACCTGAAGCAAGTTCTTAACCTAACTTCTGGTCTTGTTTTATCTGATTTACTTTAAAAAAATAGATGCCTTGGCATAAAAAATCTGCCTTGGCAATGTTTTTAACCCAGATTTTAAGCCAAAATCTCTCCTCTTGCCGTACATTTCTTTCCAAATACCGAATACTCAAAAAGCTTTAGGTTTTTCAAGAATAAAAACCGTGTTTAGAGATCTCAATGGACTCTCTCCATTCGTTTTCCCATGAGGATCACTTCTGAAGTCAGAAAATCTCCGTAAAAAACCCTCTTCAACCTTCAGAATGACCGAAAGACGTGGGCGCATCACATCAGAAAACTCTTTTTTTTTGTTTTTTCATAAGGATAATGTTTTGGAGTTTCTTCTGGACTTTGCAAAACTTTTATGAGTTCAAAAATTAGGTCAAAACCTTACTTTTTAGATGCTTTTGAGTTTGGATAAAGGTTTTTTTGACTTATTAAATTCGATTGCTCAAATATTAAGCTTTATAAAGCTACAGTAAGCTTGTCGGTTTGTCGTAAGCCGGTCAGTCGGTCGACAGCATGAATAGAAACACTTAATTTGCAGCACTGTAGCATAGAGCACTTAATTTGCAGCACTGTAGCATAAAGTCGATTTGAAACCGACTCCAGAACTGGTCCAGCTATCTGTGGGGAAATCTAGATCACGTGGAATAAGCCTTGTCTGTCCTAGTCCGTAAAAATTGCCTTTGTATTCAACATAATGCACTGATTTTTTTTCAATCAGCTTAAACTAGGCAAAATTAGATCAGAAGAGATCGGTTATCAGACATCTGATACGCCTGCCCATTTTGCCATTGGCAATCTAACTTTGAGCTCAAATCTCTTGGTGTTGGGCTGTCCAATTTTAAATTTCTTAATGTCATTAGATGCGCCAAGATTTTCTCTGTCGATTGGTACAAAAACGGCTTGAATTGAACGGGCAAACACCGAGGAATTTGAGCTCAAAGTTAGATTGCCAATGGCAAAGGGGGCGGGGCGTGTATAAAAGGTCCATCACCCGTCAAGTCTTTCTATGTCGATTGGTAGAAAAGAATATTAAAATTGTACAGTCCAACACCAAGGGATTTGAGCCCAAAGTTGGATTGCTAATGGCAAAGAAGGGCCGTATAAAAGGTCCGTCGCCCCGCCCCCTTTGCCATTGAGAATCCAACTTTAAACTCAAATATCTTGGTGTTGAGCTGTTCAATTTAAATAGTTTTTGTACCAATCAACAGAGAAAGACTTGGCGCATCTAATGATATCAAGAACACTTAAACTGGACAGCTCAACACCGAGAAATTTGGGCTCAAAGTTGGATTGTCAATGGCTAAAGGCGCGGGGCTCACAAATCTCCCACAATCGACCGCCTTGTGGCTCAATGTCAGCTTTTTGCGGCCAAACAAATAAAACCAGGCTAAGCTGGAAACTAGGCCTGGTTTTGATCATGTTCTCTCTTCAAAAACAAATCCCTTTCTTTTCATGCAAGTTCCCAAAATGATTCCTGAAAAATTCCAAAATTTGAACGAATCAAACCCCACATTTTCTCAAGGATCTTGTTGATTTCAAGAAAATCTTTTATAAGCTGGATAACTCAATTTTCACGACGAGATCTTTACAACAAAAAAAAAGCGCTTTTCAACAATTTAATGAACTTTTCTCCTTTTCCTTTTCTATCTTCCTTTTCTTTCTTCCTTTTCTTTCATCCTTCCCTTCCTTTCCTTTCTTCCTTTTCTTTCTTCCTTTTCCTTTTCTTTCTTCCTTTTCTTTCTTCCTTTTCTTTCTTCCTTCCCTTCCTTTTCTTTTCAATCACTTTTCAATGACCACCTCAACAAGGGTATTTACCTGAAAATTTTCAATTTTTCAAGAAATTTTGAAAATTTAATTTAATAGAAAGGTGTCTGAAGATGTTAAAAACAAATTTTTCAAAAAATCGGGGAGTGGGACAAATGCGACCTTTTGTTTGCGCACTTAGCCCATTAGCGCACCTTTTTTCGCGTTTTAAAAGAGCTTAAAAAGCTAAAAAAGCTAAAAAAGCTCTAAAAAGCTAATATTAACCAATTTCTATTCCAAAAGTCGTTTTTCTAGGTAATTTTAGGGCGTGGAATCGAAATTTTGACATATCAGAGCTTGTGGAACCAGACAAAACGACAAAACGTTTTGTCTTTGAAAGACAAAACGGCTAGATCAAATTACAGAAAATTGTCGATCTTTCTCTTTGTATAACTCCGTCCGTTCGCTTCCACAAGCTCTGATATGCCAAAATTTCGATTCTACGCCCTAAAATTACCTAGAAAAACGACTTTTGGAATAGAAATTGATTAATATTAGCTTTTTAGAGCTTTTTTAAGCTTTTTTTAGCTTTTTAAGCTCTTTTAAAACGCGAAAAAAGGTGCGCTAATGGGCAAGGTGCGGAAAAAAAGGTGCGCTAATGGGCAAGGTGCGGAAAAAAAGGTGCGCTAATGGGCAAGGTGCGGAAAAAAAGGTGCGCAAATGTCCGGGTGCGCAAACAAAAGGTCGCATTTGTCCCACTCCCAAAAATCGCACAAAAATTGAGTGAATTTCTAGAAATTTTGACATTTCCAAAGTTTTTTGCACTTTAATTTAAATTATAAATTAATAGCCGTTGTAGCCAACCGGATAGGTTGTCTCCTAGTCGGGGGGTTAAGGGTTCGATCCCGGCGGCTAGAAAGATTGGCTCTTTTCCCCATTATTATGGGCCTTTTCTTCACAACATTTAGGCAATAAGGGTAATTAGGGGTAAAAATCTCCTCCGTTGTGTTGTAATTCATTATTCGTGTCGAATCAATATACATACATACATAAATTCCTTTTTTCTTTGAAAGCCTACAATTTTCGATGAGTGGGCGTTCAAAGAACTCGAAAAATTCCATTGTTGCACTTTTTCTCTGATTCTTTTTCGAGAAATTCTTTTTCTGAGTTTCAATTACCCAATTCCCAAGGCTCAAAATGGGCTTGAGATTTCCATTTTTGGATTTAAACGAAAAGATTTTAAAGTTTCTGACTTTGACCTTCTTATTTTACCTCAAACGTCATAAATTTTGAATTTTTGCAAATTTGAAACTTTTTCCTTGTCGATGTGCTCATTTTGAGTTCATTTTTGTATTGCTTTTTTTTCATTTTATATTTCTCTTGGTTTGTCTGATGTTTTGAATAAAATTTGTTTGAAATTCTATTATAAATTTTGCTAACAAGTAGCGCCTCCTTTTTCCATTGGTAATCCAACTTTGAGCTCAAATTTCTCGGTGTTGGGCTCTTTAATTTTAACATTCTTGGTGTCATTGGATCCGGCAAGTCTTTCTCCGTCGATTGGTAGAAAAACTATTTGAATTGGACCATCGAACACCAAGATATTTGAGTTTAAAGTTGGATTGCCAATGGCAAAGGGGGCGGGCCGCGTATAAAAGGTCCATCGCCCGTCAAGTCTTTCTCTGCCGATTGGTACAAAAGAATATTAAAATTGTACAGTTCAACACCAAGGGATTTGAGCCCAAAGTTAGATTGTTACTGGCAAAAGGGGCGGGGCGTGTATAAAAGGTCCGTCGCCGAGCCCCTTTGCCATTGAGAATCCAACTTTAAACTCAAATATCTTGGTGTTGAGCTGTTCAATTTAAATAGTTTTTGTACCAATCAACAGAGAAAGACTTGGCGCATCTAGTGATATCAAGAACACTTAAATTGGACAGCCCAACACCGAGAAATTTGGGCTCAAAGTTGGATTGCCAATGGCAAAAGGGGGCAGGGCGTCTGATAACCATTTATCTCACTAAAGTATCTCAGAAAAATGAATCAAGCGATAAAATTGTTGTTCTTTGGCAGATTGATGAAGATATTTAAGCTTACTTCCCGTATTTTTATGTGATTTTAGTTCGAGTACTTCTAGTAAAAGTAGTCTAGTACTTTTACTTCTAGTACTTCTAGTAAAAGTACTTCTTCTTAACGATTCTATTCTTTAACTAATTCTTTCCAATAATTCAAACGAACTTTTCAGCTGAATATACGTGTGATTGATGCCGGCTGGATAGTTGTAACTCTCCGGTTTCTCGTGTGTTTCGAGAAATTCAATGTAGTGACCCTCTTGATGCCATCTAAAACAATAAAACCATCTTTTTTTTGATATTTTGGCCTCTTTCGCTTTACTTTACATCATATAAATTTATTTGCATTTATTAAATGGCCCAGAAAGGCCCAGAAAGAGGCCCAGAAAGAGGCCCAGTCTTTTCACTTTGCCCAAACTCTACAACCAAAGCTACCAAGCTTTATCATTAAACTTATAGTTAAAATTAAAGATCAACATCTTAAACAACGGCATAACTTTTTATTTTGAGAAGTTTTGATAAAAGAAAAATGTTTGAGCTGAATTTAAAGTCAAATTTGATGTTTTTTTTCGAATTATTACTCTTTTTCTCTCTATTTTGAAGAAATTTGAATGAATTGCATAGAAAGTTCGATATTTTTTTTGTACCTTTGCGCAAAAGGCATACTGCTTGCAATGTGTGAGTCGGAGGCGTGCATTCCTTGGAAAACGATTCGTTTTTGCGGCTTCTTTAAAGTCTCCAACTTTTCACAAGCCATCTAAACGATTTTGTGCACTAGAAAACACTTTAAGCGTGAATACATTCTTCCCACCAAAGCTTAAAGATCAGTCAATTGCTCAATTCGTTGAGCCAATTGCTCAATACGGTATTTTTGCAAAGTTAGATAAGCTAGCTACAAGTAGAGTGTGTTCCTAGCTACAAGTAGAGTGTGTTCCTAGCTACAAGTAGAATGTGAGTAAGTAATTACTCGAGTAAAATTCGCATGAGTAATCTTTACTCGATTAATCGGCGCTTTTAGTTGAGTAACTACGAGTAAAATCCTCTTTACAGTAAATTGAATATCTTTACATTTGAAGAGAATTTGCCACCAAATCATTTGAATGGTTTAATTCATTTAAAAGGCGTATATAAGGCGAATATAAGACGGCGTATATAAGGCGACGTATATAAGGCGACGTATATAAGGCGACGTATATAGGGCGACGTATATAAGGCGACGTATATAAGGCGACGTATATAAGGCGACGTATATAAGGGGGCGTATATAAGGCGGCGTATATAGGGCGACGTATATAAGGCGACGTATATAAGGCGACGTATATAAGGCGACGTATATAAGGGGGCGTATATAAGGCGGCGTATATAAGGCGGCGTATATAAGACGGCGTATGTAAGGCGGCGTATATAAGACGGCGTATATAAGACGGCGTATGTAAGGCGACGTATATAAGAATAGCCCCTAGCTACAAGAATAGCCCCTAGCTACAAGAATAGCTCTAGCTACAAGAATAGCTCTAGCTACAAGAATAGCTCTAGCTACAAGAATAAGGGTAATTAAAAAGCATTTAACTATTTATAACTTACATCATCCACAAAGAATAATAAAAGAAACAAATAAAGCTTCATTTTTTTGCTTCACTTCAAAGTCGAGCAGAGAAAGAATAACAAAATGAGGTGAAAACCGCACTCGTCTCATTCAATTTCCCTTATCAGTTCACTCACACCGATTGCCAGACTCTACACCACAAAATAAAGATCAAAACTACAAAGGATAGCTCAGTTTATTTGGCAAAAATAATGTTTTTTTATCTGAGACGAATCAACATCAATAATCAAGTTGATAGGAGTTTTTGTAAACAAATAGGATGGCTGTATTGAGCAATTGGCTCAACGTATTGAGCTTTAACTGATCTTTAAGCTTTGGTGGGAACAATGTATTCACGCTTAAAGTGTTTTCTATCATTGTCTAAAGAAGTGCGCCTTTTTTTAATTTATTTATTGAAAAAACTCGCAAAGATTAATTGGTAAGGTATTCTTCATTTTTATCGATGACTTCTTCCCATCTTCTGCGAAAATCCCGGATCGCATTGTCGAATTCAAACGATTCCTTGGAGGTAAAATAGTCGTGGAGCTTATTTATGACTTGATTATCAAACTGTACATCTCCCACGAAGTGTTTCAACGTCCGAAGTAAAAAAAATCTGACGGTGCATCTTGACGCCTTCCCAAAACGCCTGCGAGCCTGCTCAAATGCTAATGGTGGCCGAATTTGATAGTTCATTTGATAGAAGCCACACCAGTCGGCAAATGGTAAAGAAGATGGCGATTTCAAGCACCGCATTGCGTTGAATCCTCAAAAATAAGCTTAAACTTATTGCTTACAAGAAAAACAAGACTCAACTTCTTTCAAATGTCGCTAAAAACAAGCGAAAGTTGAGAGCAGATTCAATGGAATCGACCATCATAATACCTTATTCACAGATGAAAAGATATTTACCGTTGAAGGCCTTCTTAACAAGCAAAATGATCGAGTATGGGCCAAATCTCAACCGAATGCTACGGTTTCTCAAAGTGCATATCCAGCTTCGAAGTGTGGGAAGAGCTCGATTCAGCCTATTTGGTCGCCACCGTTCACGCCTTCCCGAAACGTCTGCTCAAGTGCTCAAATGCTAATGGTGGCCGATTCGAATTTGATAGTTCATTTATAATTGTTAACGTACAATCAACGTTATTCAGTTAAAAATCTATCTTTCTTTGTTCTTGTCTGTCTTAAAATCAGAAATCTATCTTGTTGCGAGAATTATGGCGCACCCTGTAGATTAATCAAGAGATTAGATATAATTACATACATAGATCGGTGGCGATAGGCTGGATCGAGCTCTTCCCACGCTTTCAACAGCGATTTCTTCAAGCTTTTAAGCTTTTATAGACTTTCCACCTGTTCTACAATGATTTGATCGATAGATTAATATATAGATGCTAGATTAGATAAATCTGAGCCCCACAAAAACATCGAAAGCTTGAAGAAATCGCTTTTGAAAGCGTGGGAAGAGCTCGATCCAGCCTATCGCCACCGTTGACGCCTCCCCGAAACGCCTGCGAGCCTGCTCAAATGCTAATGGTGGCCGATTCGAATTTGATAGTTCATTTATAATTGTTAACGTACAATCAACGTTATTCAGTTAAAAATCTATCTTTCTTTGTTCTTGTCTGCCTTAAAATCAGAAATCTATCTTGTTGCGAGAATTATGGCGCACCATGTAGATTAATCAAGAGATTAGATATAATTACATACATAGATCTGTATTTTCAAGCTTTTATAGATTTTCCACCTGTTCTACAATGATTTGATCGATAGATACCCTGCACCTGTACCCTGCACCTGTACCCTGCACCTGTACCCTGCACCTGTACCCTGCACCTGTACCCTGCACCTGTACCCTGCACCAATCCAAGTCTAGTAGCTCAGTCTTAGGTTTTTCAGTAATTTTAATAGTTTATCACCGAAAAAGCAACTTTTCTAGTTTATACTTTCCAAAGCATCAATTTAAAACCATCAAAGCATTCATTCTTTCACTAATAATACCCAAATTTGGCGATGTTGACATTTCGAATGAAAAAAAATTCGCTTCCTCAATTACTCAACACCAATTTTTCCTCCTAGGCATTTATGTTTTCAAAAATTCTGATGAAATTCGTTTCTTGGTCTCAGTTTTTTTTCCTTTTCTTCACTAATTAAAGTACTCTCCCGTAGTGATCAAAGCTCGGTTATGATCTCGCAAAAAATTTCGTTCCTTATTGCATTTTTTTAAAAGTTTCTTATTGGAATTTTTATCCAGAATTGGTCTTTTTCTAATCAAATATTTCGTTTTTCAGTTTAACGACGATTTGCTTTAAATCCCTTTTGTAATTACATATATTTTTAGCTTTAACTAGCGCTTAAAATGATTGAAAAGTGGCGAAAAAAAAGCGGATTTTTGCCAATTTTTGCCACTTTTCAGTCATCTTTTTCTAAGCACAGATTAATGCTAAAAATCTGTGTTATATCTCAAAAAATCACCCATTTTCTCTACTTTAATTTGATACTTTAAAATAACGAAACAAACGTACTGGTGTCGAGATATGAGCGTTTGTTTGAGAGTAAACTTAGACGACGCGACGCTCCTTAAGCGGGAGACAGACCCCAGATTTCAGTCATTTTCAGTCATCTTTTTCTAAGCGCTGGTTAGAGCTAAAAATACACGTAATATCTCAAAAAATCACCCATCCTCTCTACTTTAATTTGATACTTTAACATAAAGAAACAAACGTACTGGTGTCGAGATATGAGCGTTTCTTTGGGAGCAAACTTAGACTACGTGACGCTCCTTTAGGCGGGCGGGCTTAGGCCTTTTTTAAAGGATTTTGGTTCCTTAATGGTTTTTACATCGATGAAAAATCGAGACTTTTCCCTTCTCTTCTTGTATCAGTTCAAGCTTGGCCACAATGCGTCAAAAGCCACCCAAAACATCGATCAAGTTTTTGGGAAAAGCAAAGCTGAAGCTCGAGCAGTTCGGTGCTGGTTCAAACGATTCCGAGAAAGTGATGAGGATCTTAATGACAAGGAAGACCGTGGACACCATGTTAGTCTTGACAATGACGAATTAAAGGAGCTGGTAGAAAGGGATCCCAGAACAACTGAGACAGAATTAGTAACGCACTTTGGGATCACAGGCAATTGGGAAGAATCTCAAGGAAATCGGAAAAGTAAAAAAGTTAGAAAAGTGGGTGCCTCATCAGTTGAACGAATATCAAAAATTGCACCGTTGCCTCACATCGTATCCATTGCTGATTCGTAATCAAGAGGAGCTATTTCTGGATCGAATTGTAACTTGTGATGAAAAATGGGTCCTCTACGATAACCGAAAACGCAAAGCTGAATGGCTAGATAAAGGACAATCACCGAACCCCTTTCCAAAGCCCGACCTACACCCAAAGAAGCTTCTTCTCAGTGTTTGGTCGTCGCAGAAAGGTCTGATTCATTATTCAATTTTACCAAACGAAAAACCGATGAATTCTGATCAGTATACGAAATAAACGAAATGTATGAAAAATTTTGAAGAATCGATCCAGCTCCAGTTTTGCTTTTTTGCTCCAGTGAATCGGAAGAGTCCGATCCTATTGCAGCATAACGCCCGCTCGCATTGTTCACTGAAGACTCTTCGAAAATTGAACGAGCTGCACATTGAAATCCCCCCTCATGCTCCGACATACACCCAAGGAAGCTTCTTCTCAGTGTTTGGTCACTGTCAAAAGGAGCCATTTCTGAATCGAATTGATTAACTTGTGATGAAATAGGGGTCCTCTATGATAACCGAAAACGCAGACTTTTCCCTTCTCTTCTTGTATGAGTTCAAGCTTGGCCACAATGCGTCAAAAGCGACCCAAAACATCGATCAAGCTTTTGGGAAAAGAAAAGCTGAAGCTCGAGCAGTTCAGTGCTGGTTCGATTCGCTTTAAATCCCTTTTGTAATTACATATATTTTTAGCTTTAACCAGCGCTTAAAAAAATGATTGAAAAGTGGCGAAAAAACGCCGATTTTTGCCGGTCCAGCGCTCGTTTCCAGAGCGAGACCTCGCAGGTTCGCTCCTCCCTTGGATTCTTCAACAAAAACTTTTCTATTTTGCTGTAGTGCAACTCCTGGGAGATTGTCATTTAGCAAAAACGGAATACATATTCGGAATCAGCATCAAATTCTGTGTCGAATGGTCTATGCC